CAAATGAAGTAACAAGGTCTGTTTCAGATTGACACTGATTTCTTTCCCCATAACCTAGGAATTGAAAATAAGGACACGCCCCAAAGTGCAATTCTCATCTTTGCATAAGTCACTCAGTTTCAACCTTGATAAAGCTGTTTTGAGTGACTGGCCTGCTTAACTTTTAAAGGTGGTTAAGCTCCATCACACAGGATTCCAAGATGGCAGAGGAAAAGAAGGGGACACCGCACATTTCCACTTTTGCTTCTTCAAGGGCAGGCTGCCACCCAAAGCCACTAGCTCATGAAATGGAAGGGCTGTCCACACACAACTTCTGTTAGATGTGCTTGTGTTTCTTGAGATGTTGGAGAACTTCAGATGAGGCTGCTTAGGCTTCACATCACCTATCACAGCTGCCATTCTGAAGGGAATCTGGCACGGTGGATAGTGCAACCTTTCAAAGCATCTTCATTAACCTGGCATGCAGAGCACTAACAGAAAACCTTGGGGTGCAAAGGGGTAGCAAGGGCTATGATCAGGGTAGCCACACCGCCTATTGCAATATGCATGGAATACAAGTAGTCGATCGGAATCTCTATAAACAAACTGCATATACATTAGAGTAATAATTAAATAAATAAAGCCCTTTGCCTGAAATCTGGCAAGCTGGAAATATTACAGGTGAGACTCTCCAAGGTCATGCTAGGCAGAGGCCACATGAGCCAGCCAGCCAGATTTGCTATTCTAAGAGAAGCAATTTCTCATTTTTCTAACAGTAGCTTCTTCTCTTACTGATCAGCTGCGGAGAAGGAGGAGGGGAAAGATGTGCTTTCATTGCTACAAGTGAAGGGGGATCAGCCACCATCTCATTGCCCAGAGCTCAGTCTTTATTTTTTTTTAAGCGTTCAGTTTCAGTCTGCCACAATTTGGTACCTTCCAAATATACTGGACAACAGACCCCATGGTGCCAAGCCATGCAAGTGTAACCTAAGCCCATAATTAACTACTAGCCTGATAACTAAATAGAACTTCCAGATCCAAAGACTCCACATTACTGAAAGCCAGACCCTCAAGGCAAACAAGAGGAGGAAGCCGCTGTCTTCAGACCCTGCATGCAGACATCTCAGAGACATCCCTTTGGAAAGTTGCAAACCTAAAAAGCTAAAAGTCATACTGGCAGAAAAATCTATCAATCTCAATACTTCTAGAAGACAGCAGTTTGAGAAAGGCTGGTCTAGAAAAAGAACATGTCCTTGGAAACAGAATAGTGGGCAAAATGCCTGATCTAGCAGGGCTATTTCAACTTCCTTAACCAGCATTTTGCTCAGTTTCCATCCTCCTCAGTTGTCCTAAAGCACACTCATAGCTCTTTCTTCTTCCTGAATACTAGGTTGCCAGGCGAACAAAGCCCAGTACTTCAACATTCAAGCCTATCAGGAATCCCAAGGAATAGCTGGATACACAAGAAGAGAGGAAAACATGCAGGTCCAGGCCCAGGAATATTAGGACTCTAATTATGTGCCATAAAGCTATGGTTTTTCCAGTAGTAATGTATGGCTGTGAGAGCTGGACCATAAAGAAGGCTGAGTGCTGAAGAATTGA